GTACCGGTAGTGTAAGTGTTAGGCCATGTGATGCTATGGTGTAGTGACAAGATGAGATTCGGGTACCGGTAGTGTAAGTGTTAGGCCATGTGATGCTATGGTGTAGTGACAAGATGAGATTCGGGTACCGGTAGTGTAAGTGTTAGGCCATCTGATGCTATGGTGTAGTGACAAGATGAGATTCGGGTACCGGTAGTGTAAGTGTTAGGCCATCTGATGCTATGGTGTAGTGACAAGATGAGATTCGGGTACCGGTAGTGTAAGTGTTAGGCCATGTGATGCTATGGTGTAGTGACAAGATGAGATTCGGGTACCGGTAGTGTAAGTGTTAGGCCATGTGATGCTATGGTGTAGTGACAAGATGAGATTCGGGTACCGGTTGCAAGATTTCTTCTACAAATGAACATGTGATCATGTATGCTTGCGCCTTTACACCCAAGTGCCATTAGTTGTTTGGTTATTGTTCTTTTTTTGGTTATTTTTAAAAATTTATTTTCATAAATAAAGGGTGGGATATTATCGTATTATATATTTAAGGTTTGTCTTTTAGTGGCGTAAATCTATTAGCAGAGCATCCGGGCATACAATCTGGCCAATCTCCTGGAGACATTAATAAAATATCCTGGTGTTCCGGGTGGACAATCTCTCAACAGCTTTTCGGTACATCTACTTTAATGCGAGCCGGCACAGTGGGTCTCAACCTAGACGAAAACATGTTTACAACTTTATTTTACGGCAAAATTGTTGCTGCTACATACATTGTTGAAAGCTATATTTTCCTATTTTTTTTCAAAAAAAAAAATAGTTTCATTACGTAATGTGATGTGACGATTTTTGGACTTAGAAATGACAAACCCTATAAGACGCTTATTAGTTTATAGACCTGCCAGCCGAATTTTTTTTTAAATTTCGGCTGGCTGACATAATTTTTTGGCTGATGTCCGGATTAGCCGGATTTCTCTGTCAATTGACATTTGCGGCTGATTCTCGGCTGATTACGAAATATTCGGCTGAAATTCGGCTGAAGCCTGGCCAATAATGAAGTAATAAAACTTCAGCACTTTTACAATCCTTCAGAAAAAGTTGTATTATTTCAAACAACAGACAAAAAGACAACAGTTTTATATGCTGTCCTACTAATATAGTGAATGAATGCATTCGATTCAATCAGTTTCTGTCACCCAATAC